GGTGGGGACATCTTGGGGACATTGTGGGGACATCTTTGGGGACATTGTGGGGACATCTTTGGGGACATCTTTGGGGACATTGTGGGGACATTGTTGGGACATCTCAGGGACATTGTGGGGACACCTTGGGGACATCAAGGAGACATCTTGGGGACATCTTTGGGGACATTTCAGGGACATTTTGGGGACATCTTGGGGACATTGTGGGGACATTGTTGGGACATGGAGGGGATGTCTTTGGGGACATGGTGGGGACATGATGGGGACATTGTTGGGATGTTTTAGGGACATGGTGGGGACATCTTTGGGGACAGTGTGGGGACATCTTGGGGACATTGTGGGGACACCTTGGGGACATCACGGGGACATTGTGGGGACATTTTAGGGACATGGTGGGGACATTGTGGGGACATTGGGACATCGTGGGACGTTTTAGGGACATGGTGGGGACACCTTGGGGACACAGGGACATCTCAGGGACATTGTGGGGACATCGTGGGGACATTGGGCATTGTGGGGATGTGATGAAGTCACCTTGGGGACATCTTTGGGGACATTGGGACATAATGGGGATGTTTTAGGGACATGGTGGGGACATTATGGGGACATTGTGGGGACACCTTGGGGACATCTTTGGGGACATCTCAGGACAGCATGGGGACATTGGGACATCATGGGGATGTGATGGGGACATCTTGGGGACATCTTTGGGGAGATCTCGGGGACATCTTGGGGACATCTTGGGGACATCGCGACGTCATGGGGACATTTTAGGGACTGGGGTGGGGACATCTTTGGGGACATCTTGGGGATGTTTTAGGGACATGGTGGGGACATGGTGGGGACATGGTGGGGACATCTTTGGGGACATCTCAGGGACATCATGGGGACATTGCAGGGACATCGCAGGGACATTGTTGGGACATTGTGGAGATGTGATGGAGACACCTTGGGGACATCTTGGGGACACCTTTGGGACATCTCAGGGACATCAAGGGGACATGGGGACATCATGGGGATGTTTTAGGGACGTTGTGAGGACATTGTCAGGACATCTTGGAGACATTGTGGGGACATCTTTGGGGACATCTTGGGGACATCTTTGGGGACATCAAGGGTACATCTTGGGGACAGGGTGGGGACATCGCGACGTCATGGGGATGTGATGGGGACATCTCAGGGACATCTTAGGGACATGGGGACATTGTGGGGACATCTTGGGGACATTGTGGGGACATTGTTGGGACATGGTGGGGACATCAAGGGGACGTCATGGAGACATTGTAGGGACATATTTGGGGACACTGTGGGGACATTGTGGGTACATTGTGGGGACATCATGGGGACATTGTGGGGACATCGTGGGGACATGGTGGGGACAGGTGGCACTGTCCCCCCTGTCCCCTCAATGTCCCCAAGGTGTCCCTAAAGTGTCCCCAATGCCCTCAAAGTGTCCCAAATGTCCCCAATGTCCCCAAATGTCCCCAATGTCCCCAATCCCCCCAATGTCCCCCAATGTCCCCAATGTCCCCAATGTCCCCAATGTCCCCCCAATGTCCCCAATGTCCCCAATGTCCCCAATCCCCCCAATGTCCCCAATCCCCCCAATGTCCCCAATGTCCCCAATGTCCCCCCAATGTCCCCAATGTCCCCCAATGTCCCCAATGTCCCCAATGTCCCCAATGTCCCCAATCCCCCCAATGTCCCCAATGTCCCCAATCCCCCCAATGTCCCCAATGTCCCCAATGTCCCAAATGTCCCCAATGTCCCCCCAATGTCCCCAATGTCCCCAATGTCCCCAATCCCCCCAATGTCCCCCAATGTCCCCAATGTCCCCAATGTCCCCAATCCCCCCAATGTCCCCAATGCCCCCCCAATATCCCCAATGTCCCCAATGTCCCCAATGTCCCCAATGTCCCCCAATGTCCCCAATGTCCCCAATCCCCCCAATGTCCCCCAATGTCCCCAATGTCCCCAATGTCCCCAATCCCCCCAATGTCCCCAATGCCCCCCCAATATCCCCAATGTCCCCAATGTCCCCAATGTCCCCAATGTCCCCAATGTCCCCAATGTCCCCCAATGTCCCCAATGTCCCCAATGCCCCCCCAATGTCCCCAATGTCCCCAAATGTCCCCAAATGTCCCTGACCTGTCTGGCTCTCAGGGCGCAGCCCAGGCTGGTGACACAGAGCACGGCGTGTGACAGGGCCACCCCGATGTCCCCAACTGTCCCCAAGGCCACCCCGATGTCCCCCATGGCTTGGGGACACCTGTGGGGACATCCAGAGGTCACAGTGTCCCCTCCTCCCCCCCCAATGTCCCCAAGGCCACCCCGATGTCCCCAAACCCCCCCAATGTCCCCAATCCCCCCCAAATGTCCCCCCCAATGTCCCCCCACTGTCCCCAATGTCCCCAAATCCCCCCGATGTCCCCAAATCCCCCCCCCAATGTCCCCAATGTCCCCAAACCGCCCCAATGTCCCCCCAATGTCCCCCCAATGCCCCCCCAATGTCCCCAAGGCCACCCCAAATGTCCCCAATGTCCCCAATGTCCCCAAATGTCCCCAATGTCCCCAATGTCCCCAATGTCCCCCCAATGTCCCCAAGGCCACCCCGATGTCCCCAAATGTCCCCAATGTCCCCAATGTCCCCAATCCCCCCAATGTCCCCCCAATGTCCCCCCCAATGTCCCCCAAATGTCCCCAAGGCCACCCCAATGTCCCCAATGTCCCCCCCAAAATGTCCCCAATGTCCCCAATGTCCCCAATGTCCCCAAACCCCCCAAATGTCCCCAATGTCCCCCCCGGATGTCCCCAAACCCCCCCAAATGTCCCCAATGTCCCCAAACCTCCGCAATGTCCCCCCAATGTCCCCAAACCCCCCCAAATGTCCCCAAATGTCCCCAATGTCCCCCCGGTACCGGCACTTCCGGGTGCGGCCGAAACCCGGGAAGGGGCGTGGCCAAGGGCGGCTCCGAGCGCTCTGATTGGCTGCGGGAGCTGCTGGGCGGGGCTAAGGGGGCCGTATGTGGGCGGGGCCGCGCGGTGGGCGGGGCTAAAGTGCGGTGGGCGTGGTTTGGTGCGGGCGGGGGGAATTATGGTAATTAGAGCACGGGGATTGGCTGTTTAATGGTGGGCGGGGCTAAGGCGCGGTGGGCGTGGCTTATTACGGGCTGGGGGATTATGGTAATTAGAGCGCGGGGATTGGCTGTTTGACGGGGTAATGTGGGCGGGTCTAAATATGGTAATTAGGGCCGGGATTCCCGAATCCAATCCCGAAACCCCAAACCCCAAACCCGAAACCCCAAACCCCAAACCCCAAACCCCAAATCCCCCAAACCCCAAACCCCAAACCCCAAACCCCAAACCCCAAACCCCAAACCCCAAACCCCAAACCCCAAACCCCAAATAAACCCCAAATAAACCCCAAATACCCCAAACCCTAAATCCCAAACCCCAAACCCCAAATCCCCCAAACCCCAAACCCCAAACCCCAAATCCCAAACCCCAAACCCCAAACCCCAAATAAACCCCAAATCCCAAATCCCCCAAACCCCAAACCCCAAATCCCCCAAACCCCAAATCCCAAACCCCAAACCCCAAACCCCAAACCCCAAACCCCAAATTAACCCCAAATTAACCCCAAACCCCAAACCCCAAACCCCAAATCCCAAAACCCCAAACCCCAAACCCCAAACCCCAAACCCCAAATAAACCCCAAACCCCAAATCCCAAATCCCAAATTCCCCAAACCCCAAAAATCCCAAACCCCAAACCCCCAAATCCCAAATAAACCCCAAACCTCAAACCCCAAACCCCAAAACCAAACCCCAAATCCCCCAAAACCCCAAACCCCAAACCCCAAACCCCAAATAAACCCCAAACCCCAAATAAACCCCAAACCCCAAACCCCAAACCCCAAACCCCAAATAAACCCCAAACCCCAAACCCAAACCCCAAACCCCAAACCCCAAACCCCAAATCCCAAACCCCAAACACCAAACCCCAAACAAACCCCAAACCCCAAACCCCAAACCCCAAATAATCCCCAAACCCCAAACCCCAAACCCCAAATAAACCCCAAATAAACCCCAAACCCCAAACCCCAAATAATCCCCAAACCCCAAATCCCAAACCCCAAATCCCCCAAACCCCAAATCCCCCAAATCCCCCCAAACCCCAAACCCCAAATCCCAAACCCCAAACCCCAAACCCCAAACCCCAAACCCCAAACCCCAAACCCCAAATCCCAAATAAACCCCAAACCCCAAACCCCAAACCCCAAATCCCCCAAATCCCAAACCCCAAACCCCAAACCCCAAACCCAAATCCCAAACCCCAAACCCCAAATCCCCCAAACCCCAAACCCCAAATCCCAAACCCCAAACCCCAAACCCCAAATCCCCCAAACCCCAAACCCCAAACCCCAAATAAACCCCAAATAAACCCCAAATCCCAAACCCCAAATCCCAAACCCAAAATCCCCCAAACTCCAAATCCCAAATCCCAAACCCCAAACCCCAAATCCCAAACCCCAAACCCCAAATAAACCCCAAATAAACCCCAAACCCCAAATCCCAAACCCCAAACCCCAAATCCCCCAAACCCCAAACCCCAAACCCCAAATAAACCCCAAATCCCCCCAAACCCCAAATACACCCCGAACCCCAAACCCCAAACCCCAAACCCCAAACCCCAAACCCCAAACCCCAAATATACCCCAAACCCCAAACCCCAAATCCCCCCAAACCCCAAACCCCAAAGAAACCCCAAACCCCAAACCCCAAATCCCAAATCCCAAACCCCAAACCCCAAACCCCAAACCCCAAATAAACCCCAAATAAACCCCAAATAAGCCCCAAACCCCAAATCCCCCAAACCCCAAATAAACCCCAAATAAACCCCAAATAACCCCAAACAAACCCCTCCCCACTCCCAATCCCATTCCCCGCCCCGGGTCCCCTCCCTCCCCCGGGGATAAGTCCCGTCCATTCCCCTCCGCGATGCCGCCGCCGCCGCCGCCGCTCTCGGCCGCTCCTGCCCCGGCCCGGGGCGGCTCCCGCGACCCCTTCGGCCGCTCCGGCGCTTCCCGGGGCGGCTCCCGGGGCGGTTCCCGGGGGGGTTCTCGGGGTTCGCGGGGGTCCCCGGGCCGCCCGCAGCGGTACCGCCGCCACCCCAAACCCCCCTACTCCTACCTGGCGCTGATCGCGCTCGTCATCCGCGCCGCCCCCGGCCGCCGCCTCAAGCTCGCCCAGGTAACCGGCCCGGGAACACCGGGAGAGCCCCGGGACCACCGGGACCACCGAGGGGTTCCCGATCCAGCCCCGGGATCCCCGAACTCGGATCCGCATCCATCCCCGGGATCATCTCGGGGTTCCCGATCCATCCCCGAGACCCCCGAGGGGTTCCCGATCCGTCCCCGGGACCACCGGGAGACCTCCGGGAGAGCCTCGGGAGAGCCCCGGGAGATCCCCGAGACCCCCGAGGGGTTCCCGATCCATCCCCGGGACCACCGAGGGGTTCCCGATCCATCCTCGGGACCCCCGAACTCGGAGCCGCATCCATCCCCGGGACCCCTCCGGGATTCCCGATCCATCCCCGGGACCACCGGGAGACCCCCGGGACACCCCCGAGGGGTTCCCATCCATCCTCGAGACCCCCGAGGGGTTCCCGATCCACTCCCGGGACCACCGGGAGACCCCCGGGAGAGCCTCGGGAGAGCCCCGGGGGACCCCCGGGACCACCGAGGGGTTCCCGATCCACCCCCGGGACCCCTCCGGGATTCCCGATCCACTCCCGGGACCCCCGGGAGACCGCCGGGAGAACCTCGGGAGACCCCCGGGACCCCCGAGGGGTTCCCGATCCATCCCCGGGACCCCCGAACTTGGATCCGTATCCGTCCTCGGGATCATCTCGGGGTTCCCGACCATCCCCGAGACCCCCGAGGGGTTCCCGATCCGTCCCCGGGACCACCGGGAGACCCCCGGGACCCCCTCGGGAATCCCCCAAATTCTCCCCGGGATCCGCTCGGGATTCCCGATCCATTCTCGGGACCCCCGAGGGGTTCCCGATCCATCCCCGGGACCCCCGAACTTGGATCCGCATCCGTCCCCGGGACCCCTCCGGGATTCCCGATCCATCCCTGAGACCCCCGGGACCCCCTCGGGATCCCCCAAATTCTCCCCGGGACCCTCTCGGGATTCCCGATCCGACCCCGGGACCACCGGGAGACCCCCGGGACCCCCTCGGGATGCCCCAAATTCTCCCCGGGACAATCTCGGGATTCCCGATCCGACCCCGGGACCCCCTCGGGATGCCCCAAATTCTCCCCGGGACAATCTCGGGATTCCCGATCCGACCCCGGGACCCCCTCGGGATTCCCCAAATTCTCCCCGGGGCCCTCCGGGATCCCGGAATTCTCGGTAGCCCAAAATTCCCCCACCAAAAAACCCCGAAAAACCAAAAAAAAACCCAAAAGAAATCCCCAAACTCCAAAATCTCCGGACCCCAAACGCCTCTTAAAAATCCCTAAAAAGCCCCAAAAAAATCTCCCAAAAAATCTCCCAAAAAACCCCAAAAAAAATCCCCAAAAATCCCGGAAAAATCCCCCCAAAAATTCCCCAAAAATCCCGGAAAAATCCCAAAAATCCCAGTAAAATCCCCCCCAAAAAATCCCAGTAAAATTCCCAAAAATCCCGAAAAATCCCCAAAAATTCCCCCCAAAAATCCCCCAAAAACCCCAAAAATCTCCCCAAAATCCCCAAAAAACCCTAAAAAGCCCCCAAAAAATCCCCAAGAAATGCCAAAAAAATCCCCCAAAAAATGCAAAAAAAATCCCCAAAAAAATGCCCAAAAAAATGCCCAAAAATCCCCCAAAATCCCCAAAATATCCCCAAAAACCCTTCAACCCCCCCCCAAAAATCTCCCAAAAAATCCCAAAGAAACACCAAAAATCCCCCAAAAAATCCGAAAAAATCCCCCCAAAAACCCCTAAAAAGCCCCCCAAAATAAAAAAAAAATCCGAAAAGGTGCCCAAAAATCCCCCAAAAAATCTTAATAAAACCCCAAAAAATCCCAATAAAATCCCCAATAAAACCCCAACAAAATCCCCAATAAAATCCCCCAAAACCCCCAAAATTCCCAAAAAATCCCCCAAAAAATCCGAAAAAATCCCCCAAAAAATCCCAAAATTCCCCAAAATTTCCCCAAATTTCCGCTCCGCGCCCTCCCCCCGCCGCCGCCATCGCGGGCGACAAACCGCGATAGTCGCGACAGAAGCGGCGATGGCGGCGACAATCGCGACAAAAGCCGCGACAGTGGCGACAGGGGGGGGACAAAGACCGCGACAGTGGCGACAGAAGCGACGATGGTGGCGACAATCGCGACAAAAGCGGCGACACGGGGGGGCGACAGCGGCGACAGAAGCCGCGATAGTGGCGACAGGGGGTGACGGGGGGTGGCGACAGCGGCGACAATCGCGACAGGGGAGCGACAAAAGCGGCGACAGCGGCGACAATCGCGACAAAAGCCACAAAAGCAGCGACACGGGGGGCGACAATCGCGACAATCGCGACCGAAGCGGCGACAATGGCGACAAAGGGACAGAGGGACAGAGGGGGACCAGACCCCCCCCATATGTCGCGATAGAGCCGCGATAGAGACGGGCGGGGGGGGGAATTTTGGGGGATTTTTGGGGATTTTGGGGGGATTTTTTGGGGGATTTTTGGGGTTTTTTGGGTAATTTTTGGGGGTTTTTGGGATTTTTTTGGGGATTTTTGGGAGGTTTTTGGGGGGGTTTTTTTGGGGATTTCTTTGGGAATTTTTGGGGATTTTGGGGACTTTTAAATATTTTGGGGGGGGTTTTGGGGTTTTTGGGGGAGTTTTTGGGGATTTTATTGAGATTTTTGGGGGGATTTTTGGGAGTTTTGGGGATTTTGGGGATTTTTTTGGGGATTTCTTTGGGGATTTCCGGGGTTTCTGGGGGGGGGTTTTGGGGTTTTTTGGGGGGATTTCTTTGGGGGATTTTTTTGGGATTTTTTGGTTTTGTTTTTTGATTTGGAGGATTTTTTTGGGATTTTTTTGGGATATTTTGAGATTTTGGGGGATTTCTTGGGGGATTTTTGGGGATATTTTGGGGGATATTTTTGGGGAGTTTTTGGGGATTTTTTGGGGGGATTTTTTTGGATTTTATTGGGATTTCACTGCAATTTTTTTTGGGGGGGGGGGGGTTTAACCAGGATTTTTTTTTTTATTTTATTGGGATTTTACTGGGATTTTGGGGGATTTTTTTTGGATTTTTGGGGATTTTATTGGGATTTTTTGGGTTATTTTTTTTGGGACTTCAGAGGATTTCTTTGGGGATTTTTTGGGTTTTTTTGGGGGGATTTTTTAGGTGGTTTTTTTGGGGGGATTTTGGGATTTTGGGGGAATTTTGAGGGATTTGTTTGGGAATTTGGGGGGCTTTTATTGGATTTTGGCATTTTTGGGGGATTTTTTGGGGATTTTTGCGGTTTTTTGGGAATTTTTGACTTTTTTTGTGAGGTTTTTGGGGGGATTTTTGGGATTTGTTTGGGGGTTTTTGGGTTTTTTGGGATTTTGGGGGATTTTTTTGGGATTTTTTTTGATCTTGAGGGATTTTGGGGGGATTTGTGGGATTTTTTTTTATTTTTGAGGTTTTTTGGGGGATTTTTGCGATTTTTGGTGGATTTGGGGGATTTTTGATTTTGTAGGTTTTTTTGGTGGGTTTTTTTGGGATTTTGGGGGATTTTTTCAGGGATTTTTGCGATTTGTGGGATTTTGGGGGGATTTTTTGGGGTTTTTTTCGATTTTTTGGGGGATTTTTGGGATTTTTATTCGTAGCGATTTTTTCTTCATTTTTTGTGATTTTTTCCTTTATTTCCGAGTTTTTTTTGAGAATTTGGGCATTTTTTTCCATGAACTTTTACCTAAATTATTATTTTTTTTATTTCCCCACCCCAAAATTACCCCAAACCCCCCAAAATTTGTATTTTATTTTTATTTTTCAGATCATTCAGCAGCTGCGGAGCCTCTTCCCGTTCTTCGGGGGGCGCTACCAGGGCTGGAAGGATTCCGTGCGCCACAACCTCTCCTCCAACCCCTGCTTCGCCAAGGTGGGGAAATTTGGGAATTTTTGGGGAATTTTGGGAATTTTTGGGGATTTTGGGGTTTGGGGAAAATTTGGGATTTTTGGGGTTTTTTTGGGGGGCATTCTGGGATTTTATTTTGATTTTTTGGGGATTTTATTTTGATTTTATTTTGATTTTTTTAGGATTTTTTGGGGATTATTTTGGGATTTTATTCTGAGTTTTGGGGATTTTTTTTGGGATTTTTTTGGGGAATTTTTTGGGGATTTTATTCAGATTTTTTTGCCTTTTTGGGGATTTTTTTTTATTTTATTGGAATTTTTTGGGGATTTTATTGGGATTTTTGGGGGATTTTTTGGGGATTTTTGGGGATCTTTTGGGGATCTTTAGGGAATTTTTTTGAGGATTTTTTGGGAAATTGTATTTTATTTTATTGGGATTTTTTGTGGATTTTATTCTGATTTTTTTGGGGATTTTTTCGGATTTTATTCTGATTTTTTTGGGGATTTTTTTGGATTTTTTGGTTTTTATTGGGAGTGCGCCACAACCTCTCCTCCAACCCCTGCTTCGCCAAGGTAGGGAAATTTGGGAATTTTTCCGGAATTTTGGGAATTTTTGGGGAATTTTTGGGAGTTTTGGGGTTTGGGGAAAATTTGGGATTTTTTTAGGGGGGGGGTTGGGGGATTTTGGGGCTTTTTTGGGATTTTATTTTGATTTTTTGGGGATTTTATTCTGATTTTTTTGCAATTTTATTTTGATTTTTTTGAAATTTTATTTTAATTTTTTTAGGATTTTTTTGGGATTTTTTTAGGATTTTTTGGGGGATTTTTTGGATTTTATTTGGACTTTATTGGGATTTTTTGGGGGATTTTATTCTGATTTTTTTGGGGATTTTATTCTGATTTTTTGGGGATTTTTTAAAATTTTATTGGGATTTGGGGGTTTTTTTGGGGTTTTTTTGGGGTTTTTTTGGGTATTTTTGGGGAATTTGGGGGGGGTTTTTTTTTTTTTTTGGATTTTAGTGGGATTTTTTCTGGAATTTTTGGGATTTTTTGGGGGATTTTATTCGGATTTTTTTGGTATTTATTGGGATTTTTGGGGATTTTTTTTTTATTTTATTCTGATTTTTTAGGGATTTTTTGGGGATTTTTTGGGAATTTTTGGGATTTCATTGGGAGTGCGCCACAACCTCTCCTCCAACCCCTGCTTCGGCAAGGTCGGAAATTCCGGAATTTTTCGGGAATTTTGGGGAATTTTGGGGAATTTTGGGGTTTTGGGGTTTGGGGGAAAATTTGGGGATTTTTTTGGGATTTTTTTTGGGATTTTTCTGGATTTTATTCGGATTTTATTGGGATTTTTTGGGGATTTTATTTTGATTTTTTTAGGATTTTTTGGGGATTTTTTCAGGATTTTATTCTGATTTTTTTGGTATTTTTGGGGATTTTTTGGGGATTTTTTTGGGATTTTTATTCTGATTTTTTGGGGCTTTTTTTATTTGATTGGGATTTTTGGGATTTTCTTGGGGTTTCTTTGGGTATTTTCAGGGTATTTTTGGGTTTTCTTGGGGATTTTTTTGGGGATTTTAGTAGGATTTTTTCTGAAATTTTTTTGGGATTATTTTGGGGATTTTATTCTGATTTTTTTGGTTTCTATTGGGATTTTGGGGGATTTTTTGGGCATTTTTTTGGAATTTTATTGGGATTTTTGGGGGATTTTTGGGGATTTTATTGGGAGTGTGCCACAACCTCTCCTCCAACCCCTGCTTCGCCAAGGTGGGAAAATTCAGAATTTTTGGGGAATTTTTGGGGAATTTTTGGGGAATTTTTGGGGAATTTTTGGGAATTTTGGGGTTTGGGGGAAAATTGGGATTTTTTTAGGGGGGGTTCTGGGATTTTATTTTGATTTTTTTAGGATTTTATTTTGATTTTTTGGGGATTTTATTTTGATTTTTTTTGTGATTTTATTTTGATTTTTTAAGGATTTTTTGGGGATTTTTTGGGGATTTTATTCTGATTTTTGGGGATTTTTTGGAATTTTTTCAGGGAATATTTTTGAGATTTTTTTGGGGGATTTTATTTGGATTTTTTTGCTTTTTTGGGATTTTTTTTTAATTAGGATTTTTGGGGGATTTTTTTATTTTATTGGGATTTTTGGGAGTTTTTTGGGTTTTTTTTCTTTTTTATAAGGATTTTTGGGGGATTTTTTGGGGGATTTTTGTGGATTTTATTCTGATTTTTTTGGGGATTTTTTTTTATTTTTGGGGGATTTTATTGGGGAGTTTGTGGGATTTTTTGGGATTTTTTGGGATTTTTGGGGGATTTTTTGGGATTTCATTGGGAGTGCGCCACAACCTCTCCTCCAACCCCTGCTTCGCCAAGGTGGGAAATTTGGGAATTTTTTGGAGAAATTTGGGAATTTTTGGGAATTTTGGGGTTTGGGAAAAATTTGGGATTTTTGGGGGGTTTTTTTGGGGGGGTTTGGGGGGTTCTGCGGCTTTTTTTTGGGATATTATTCTGATTTTTTTAGGATTTTATTTTGATTTTTTTAGGATTTTTTTTTTTTTTCAGGATTTTATTCTGATTTTTCTGGTATTTTTGGGGATTTTTTCGGGATTTTTTGGGGATTTTTATTCTGATTTTTTGGGGATTTTTTTTTGGGGATTTTATTGGGATTTTTGGGGATTTTATTCAGATTTTTTTGCCTTTTTGGGGATTTTTTTTTATTTTATTGGGATTTTTTGGGGATTTTTTGGGGATTTTTTGGGGATCTTTTGGGGATCTTTTGGGGATTTTTTTGGGATTTTTTTGGAATTTTTATTTTATTTTATTGGGATTTTTTGTGGATATTATTCTGATTTTTTGGGATTTTTTTGGATTTTATTCTGATTTTTTGGGGGATTTTTTTGGATTTTATTCTGATTTTTTGGGGATTTTTTTGGGATTTTTGGGGGATTTTTGGGGATTTTATTGGGAGTGCGCCACAACCTCTCCTCCAACCCCTGCTTCGCCAAGGTCGGAAATTCCGGAATTTTTGGGAATTTTTGGGAAATTTGGGAATTTTGGGGTTTGGGGAAAATTTGGGATTTTTTTAGGGGGGGTTTGGGGGGTTTTGGGGCTTTTTTTTTGGGTTTTATTCTGATTTTTTGGGGATTTTATTTTGATTTTTTGCGATTTTATTTTGATTTTTTTAGGATTTTATTTTGAATTTTTTAGGATTTTTTGGGATTTTTTTAGGATTTTTTTGGGATTTTTTGGATTTTATTTGGATTTTATTGGGATTTTTTGGGGGATTTTATTCTGATTTTTTTGGGGATTTTATTCTGATTTTTTGGGGATTTTTTAAATTTTATTGGGATTTTGGGGTTTTTTTGGGGTTTTTTTTGGTATTTTTGGGGAATTTTGGGGGGATTTTTTTTTTTGGATTTTAGTGGGATTTTTTCTGAAATTTTTTTGGGATTATTTTGGGGATTTTATTCTGATTTTTTTGGTTTCTATTGGGATTTTGGGGGATTTTTTGGGGATTTTATGGGGAGTTTTGGGGATTTTTTGGGATTTTTTGGGATTTTTTGGTATTTATTGGGAGTGCGCCACAACCTCTCCGCCAACCCCTGCTTCGCCAAGGTCAGAAAATTTGGGAATTTTTCGGGAATTTTGGGGAGTTTTTGGGAACTTTGGTGTTTGGGGGAAATTTGGGATTTTTTGGTTTTTTTTTGGGGGGGCTTTGGGGCTTTTTTTTGGGTTTTATTCTGATTTTTTGGGGATTTTATTTTGATTTTTCTGCAATTTTATTTGGATTTTTTTGCGATTTTATTTTGAATTTTTAAGGATTTTTTGGGGATATTTGGGGGATTTTATTTGGATTTTATTGGGATTTTTTTGGGATTTTTTTAGGATTTTTTGGAATTTTTAGTAATTTTTTTTCTTATTTTTGGGGGATTTTATTCTGATTTTTGGGGATCTTTTGGGGATTTTTTGGGGATTTTTTTGGGAATTTTTATTTTATTTTACTGGGATTTTTTGTGGATATTATTCTGATTTTTTTGGGGATTTTTTTGGATTTTATTCTGATTTTTTGGGGATTTTTTTGGGTGTTTTGGTTTTTATTGGGAGTGCGCCACAACCTCTCCTCCAACCCCTGCTTCGCCAAGGTCGGAAATTTGGGGATTTTTCGGGAAATTTGGGAATTTTTGGGGAATTTTGGGGATTTTGGGGTCTGGGAAAGATTTTGGAATTTTTGTGTGTTTTTTGGGGGATTTTGGGGCTTTTTTGGGTTTTATTCTGATTTTTTTGGGATTTTATTCTGATTTTTTTGCAATTTTATTTTGATTTTTTTGCAATTTTATTTCGATTTTTTTAGGATTTTTTTGGGGATTTTTTTAGGATTTTTTGGGGGATTTTTTGGATTTTATTTGGATTTTATTGGGATTTTTTTGGGGATTTTTTTGGGATTTTTATTGGGATTTTTATTCTGATTTTTTGGGATTTTTTTTTTTTTATTGGGATTTTTGGGATTTTCTTGGGGGTTTTTTTGGGAATTTTCAGGGGATTTTTGAGGTTTTTTTGGGATTTTTTTTAGGATTTTAGTGGGATTTTTTCTGGATTTTTGGGGATTATTTTGGGGATTTTATTCGGATTTTTTTGGTTTTTATTGGGATTTTGGGGGATTTTTTGGGCATTTTTTGGGGATTTTATTGGGATTTTTGGGGGATTTTTTGGGATTTTATTGGGAGTGCGCCACAACCTCTCCTCCAACCCCTGCTTCGCCAAGGTGGGAAATTCCGGAATTTTTTGGGAAATTTGGGAATTTTGGGGAATTTTGTGGTCTGGGAAAAATTTGGGATTTTTTTAGGGGGGGTTTGGGGGATTTTGGGGCTTTTTTTTGGGATTTTATTTTGATTTTTGGGGGATTTTATTTTGATTTTTTTGCAATTTTATTTTGATTTTTTTGAAATTTTATTTTAATTTTTTTAGGATTTTTTTGGGATTTTTTTAGGATTTTTGGGGATTTTTTGGATTTTATTTGGATTTTATTGGAATTTTTTTGGGGATTTTTTTGGGATTTTTATTGGGATTTTTATTGGGATTTTATTGGGATTTTTTTTATTTTATTGGGATTTTTGGGATTTTCTTGGGGATTTTTTTTGGGGATTTTATGGGGATTTTTTCTGAAATTTTTTTGGGATTATTTTGGGGATTTTATTCTGATTTTTTTGGTTTCTATTGGGATTTTGGGGGATTTTTTGGGGATTTTATGGGGAGTTTTGGGGATTTTTTGGGATTTTTTGGGATTTTTTGGTATTTATTGGGAGTGCGCCACAACCTCTCCGCCAACCCCTGCTTCGCCAAGGTCAGAAAATTTGGGAATTTTTCGGGAATTTTGGGGAGTTTTTGGGAACTTTGGTGTTTGGGGGAAATTTGGGATTTTTTGGTTTTTTTTTGGGGGGGCTTTGGGGCTTTTTTTTGGGTTTTATTCTGATTTTTTGGGGATTTTATTTTGATTTTTCTGCAATTTTATTTGGATTTTTTTGCGATTTTATTTTGAATTTTTAAGGATTTTTTGGGGATATTTGGGGGATTTTATTTGGATTTTATTGGGATTTTTTGGGATTTTTTTAGGATTTTTTGGAATTTTTAGTAATTTTTTTTCTTATTTTTGGGGGATTTTATTCTGATTTTTGGGGATCTTTTGGGGATTTTTTTGGGATTTTTTGGGAATTTTTTTTGGATTTTATTCTGAATTTTTGGGGATTTTTTTGGGAATTTTTATTTTATTTTACTGGGATTTTTTGTGGATATTATTCTGATTTTTTTGGGGATTTTTTTGGATTTTATTCTGATTTTTTGGGGATTTTTTTGGGTGTTTTGGTTTTTATTGGGAGTGCGCCACAACCTCTCCTCCAACCCCTGCTTCGCCAAGGTCGGAAAATTTGGGAATTTTTCGGGAAATTTTGGGAATTTTGGGGAATTTGGGGGTTTGGGGAAAATTTGGGATTTTTTTAGGGGGGTTTCGGGGGGTTCTGTTTTTTGTTTTTTTTTTCTGGGAGTTTATTTTGATTTTTTGGGGATTTTATTTTGATTTTTTTAGGATTTTTTGGGGATTTTTTGGGGATTTTATTCTAATTTTTGAAGATTTTTTTGGGATTTTTTTGGGGGATTTTATTGGTATTTTTGGGTATTTTATTCGGATTGTTTTGCTATTTTGGGATTTTTTTTGGATTTTATTGGGATTTTGGGGGGATTTTTTGGGGGATTTTTATGGATTTTATTCTTATTTCTTTGGAGATGTTTTGGGGATTTTATTGGGATTTTTTTTGTGGATTTTATTCTGATTTTTTTGGGGGATTTTATTGGGATTTTTTGGGGATTTTTTTTTTTGGATTTTTGGGTGATTTCATTGGGATTTTATTGGGGATTTTGTTTGGGATTTTATTCAGATTTTTTTGCTTTTTTGGGGGATTTTTTTGGGGATTTTTTTGGGGGAGATTTTATTGGGTTTTTTTTCAGATTTGTAGCGTTTTTATTTGGATTTTTGGGGGATTTTTTTGGCTTTTTTGGGGGATTTTTTGGGGGGATTTTTTTGTATTTTTTGAGTTTCTCACAGAATTTTTTCGGGATTTTTTTGCATTTTTCTCCTTCCCCAGCCAATTTTTTGGGGTTTTTTTGCATTTTTTGCATTTCTCACCCAATTTTTCGGGATTTTTTTGCATTTTTTGCATTTCTCACCCGATTTTCATGGGTTTTTTGCATTTTTTGCATTTTTCACCCCATTTTTCGTGTTTTTTTTTCATTTTTTACCCTCCTCACCCAAATTTCGTGGGTTTCTTGCATTTTTTGCGTGTTCCAAAGGATTTTTTTTGGTTTTTTTCATTTTTTGCATCTCTCACTGGATTTTTTGGGGTTTTTTTGCATTTTTGGCATTTCTCACCCAATTTTTTGTGGTTTTTTTTTTGCATTTTTGGCATTTCTCACCCCATTTTCGTGATTTTTTTGCATTTTTCACGTTTCTCACCCCATTTTCATGGGGTTTTTGCATTTTTTCGCCTTTCTCACCCGATTTTCGGATTTTTTTTGCATTTTTCACTTTTCTCACCCGATTTTTCATGGTTTTTTTGCATTTTTCGTGTTTATCACCCGATTTTCGGGATTTTTTTGCATTTTTCGCGTTTCTCACACGATTTTCATGGTTTTTTTTCATTTTTCACATTTCTCACCCAATTTGGTAGTTTTTTTCATTTTTCGCCTTTCTCACCCTTTTTTCAAATTTTTTTTGCATTTTTCACCTTTCTCACGCTATTTTCAGGATTTTTTTTTGCATTTTTCGCGTTTCTCACACGATTTTTTTGGGGTTTTTTGCATTTTTCGCCTTTCTCACCCAATTTTCATGGTTTTTTTGCATTTTTTGCATTTCTCACGCAATTTTCAGGATTTTTTTTCATTTTTCGTGTTTCTCACCCGATTTTTGTGGGTTTTTTGCATTTTTCACCTTTCTCATCGGATTTTCGTGGGTTTTTTTGCATTTTTCGTGTTTATCACCCAATTTTTTTGATATTTTTTGCGGTTCTCACCTGATTTTTTGATTTTTTTTGCATTTTTCACCTTTTTCACCCGATTATTTTGGGTTTTTTGCATTTTTCTCGTCTCTCACACGATTTTTTTGGGTTTTTTTGCATTTTTCACATTCCTCACCCCATTTTTTTTGTTTTTTTTTCATTTTTCGCCTTTCTCACCCAATTTTTTTGCATTTTTCACCTTTCTCAACCAATTTTCAGGATTTTTTTGCATTTTTTGTTTTTCTCACCCAATTTTTTTGGTATTTTTTGTGTTCCTCACCCGATTTTCACAGTTTTTTTTTTCATTTTTCACATTCCTCACCCGATTTTTTGAGATTTTTTTTTTGCATTTTTCGTGTTCTCACCCAATTTTTTTGGTATTTTTTCGCCTTTCTCACCCGATATTCTGGATTTTTTTGTATTTTTCTCGTCTCTTACAGGATTTTTTTGTATTTTTTTTGTATTTTTCTCGTCTCTCACCGATTTTTTGTGTTTTTTTTCATTTTTCACATTCCTCACCCCATTTTTTTGTTTTTTTTGCATTTTTCGCCTTTCTCACCCATTTTTCATGTTTTTTTTGCATTTTTCGTGTTTCTCACCCAATTTTTTGGTATTTTTTGTGTTCCTCACAGGATTTTTTTGGGTTTTTTTGCATTTTTCGCCTTTCTCACCCAATTTTCGTGCTTTTTATTAATTTTTCGCCTTTCTCACCCAATTTTCGTGGGATTTTTTTGTATTTTTCATTTTTCTCACCCAATTTTCGTGGGTTTTTTTTCATTTTTCACCTTTCTCACCTGATTTTTCAGATTTTTTTTTGCATTTTTTGCATTTCTCACCCCATTTTTCGTGGTTTTTTTGCATTTTTTGCATTTCTCACCCGATTCTTTGTGGGTTTTTTGCATTTTTTGCCTTTCTCACCCAATTTTTTTTGCATTTTTGGTGTTTCTCACCCAATTTTTTTGGTTTTTTTGCATTTTTTGCCTTTCTCACCCAATTTTTGGATTTTTTTTGCATTTTTCTCGTTCCTCACCCAATTTTTTGGATTTTTTTTTTGCATTTTTCGCGTTTTTCACCCAATCTTTTGATATTTTTTCGCCTTTCTCACCCAATTTTTTATATTTTTCTTACATTTTTCACGTTTCTCACCCCATTTTTTTTTGGTTTTTTTGCATTTTTCGTGTTTCTCACCCAATCTTTTGATATTTTTTCACCTTTCTCACCCAATCTTTTATATTTTTCTTACATTTCTCCCCTTCCCCACCGTTTTTTCCCCGTTTTTCCCCCCCAGGTGCTGAAGGACCCCTCCAAGCCTCACTCCAAAGGCAACTTTTGGACGGTGGACGTGGCTCGGATCCCTCCGGCGGCGCTGCGGCTGCAGAACACGGCGGTGGCGCGCGCCAACAACGTCAACGTCAACGTCAACAACGTCAACAACAACGTCAACGCCAACAACAACGTCAACGTCAACAACAACGTCAACGTCAACGCCAACGCCGCCATCCCCTTCGTCCCCGACCTCTCCCCCTTCATCCTCTCGGGGTGCCCCTTCCCCCCGTCCCCTCCTGCCCCCCAAAATTCCAACTTCTCCATCGATTCCCTCCTCCGGCGGCCCCCGAATTGGGAGGGGCCGAAATTCGGGGCGCCCCCAAACCGCCCCCAAATTTGGGGTCAGCTGCCGACGTCCTACAGCGCCGGGCCGGCCCCCAACGCGGTGGCACCGGGGGTGGGGGGGGCGCCCCGAATTTTGGGGGGGGTTTGGGGGGGTGGGGGTGGATCTCCGGGGGATTTGGGGGGGTCCTTGAAGGGTTTGGGGGGGTCCTGGGTGGATTTTGGGGGGTCCCGGGTGGATTTCGGGGAGACCCGGGTGGATTTTGGGGGGTCCCAGAAAGATTTGAAGGAGTCTCAGGTGGATTTTGGGGGGTCCCAAGTGGATTTTGGGGGGTCCCCAAAAGGTTTGGGGGGATCCCAGAAGGATTTGGGGGAGTCCCGGGTGGATTTTGGGGGGTCCTCGAAGGGTTTGGGGGGATCCCAGAAGGATTTGGGGGAGTCCCGGGTGGATTTTGGGGGGTCCTCAAAGGGTTTGGGGGGGTCCCAGAAGGATTTTGGGGGGTCCCAGGTGGATTTTGGGGGGTCCTCGAAAGGTTTGGGGGGATCCCAGAAGGGTTTGGGGGGTTCCTGGTTGGATTTTGGGGGGTCTCGAGTGGATTTGGGGGAGTCCCGGGTGGATTTTGGGGGGTCCCAGAAGGATTTGAAGGGGTCTCGAGTGGATTTGGGGGAGTCTCGGGTGGATTTTGGGGGGTCCCAGAAGGATTTGAAGGGGTCTCAGGTGGATTTTAGGGGATCCCAAGTGGATTTTGGGGGGTCCCCAAAAGGTTTGGGGGGATCCCAGAAGGATTTGGGGAGGTCCCAAGTGGATTTTGGGGGGTCCCAGAAGGATTTGAAGGGGTCCCAGGTGGATTTTGGGGGTTCCCGGGTGGATTTTGGGGGTTCCCGAGTGGATTTTGGGGGTTCCCGGGTGGATTTTGGGGGTTCCCGGGTGGATTTCGGGGGGTCCCGGGTGGATTTCGGGGGGTTCCTCCTCCCCCCCCCCAATAAAAGCATTTTCGACGTTTGGCTGAGCCACCCCGGGGACATCGTCATCAGGGGCTGATGACGTCATAGGGGCACCCCCAAATTTTTGGGGTCACCCCAAACCCCCATGACCAAAATTTGGGGGTGTTACCCTCAAAAATGCCAAAATTTGGGGTTTTTTGGCTCAAAATTGAGGCTGAACCCCCCAAAATTTGTGTTTAACCCCCCCAAAATTTAGGTTGATGACGTCATGGGGACACCCCCAAATTTTTGGGGTCACCCCAAACCCCGGTGACCAAAATTTGGGGGTGTCACCCCCAAAAATACCAAAATTTGCGGATTTTTGGCACCAATTTGAATCTGAACACCCCAAAATTTGTGCTTAACCCGCTAAAAATTTGGGTTGATGACGTCATAGGGGCACCCCCAAATTTTTGGGGCCACCCCAAACCCCAATGACCAAAATTTGGGGGTGTCACCTTCAAAAGTGCCAAAATTTGGGGATTTTTGGCACCAAATTGAATCTGAACACCCCAAAATTTGTGTATTAAACCCCCCAAATTTGGGTTGATGACGTCATAAGGACACCCCCAAATTTTTGGGGTCACCCCAAACCCCAATGACCAAAATTTGGGGGTGTCACCCCCAAAAATGCCAAAATTTGGGGATTTTTGGCACAAAATTGAGTCTGAACACCCCAAAATTTGCATCAAAACCCCCAAAATTTGGGTTGATGACGTCATAGGGGCACCCCCAAATTTTTGGGGTCACCCCAAACCTCGGTGACCAAAATTTGGGGGTGTCACCTTCAAAAATGGCCAAATTTTGGGATTTTTGGCACAAAATTAAGTCTGAACGCCCCAAAATTTGCATCAAACCCCCCAAATTTGGGGTGATGACGTCATAGGGACACCCCCAAATTTTTGGGGTCACCCCAAACCCCGGTGACCAAAATTTGGGGGTGACACCCCCAAAATGCCCAAATTTTTGGGGTTTTGGACTCAAAATTGAGTCTGAACACCCCAAAATTTGCATCAAAACCCCCAAATTTGGGGGTGATGACGTCATAGGGACACCCCCAAATTTTTGGGGTCACCCCAAACCCCGGTGACCAAAATTTGGGTGTGTCACCTCCCAAAATTCCCAAATTTTGGGGGTTTTGGACTCAAAATTGAGGCAGAACACCCCAAAATTTGCATCAAAACCCCCCAAATTTGGGATGATGACGTCATAGGGACACCCCCAAATTTTTGGGGTCACCCCAAACCCCGATGACCAAAATTTGGGGGTGTCACCCTCAAAAATGCCAAAATTTGGGCTTTTTTGGCACAAAATCGAGTCTGAACACCCCAAAATTTTTTTTAACCCCCCCAAAATTTTGGGGTGATGACGTCATACAGGGGTTGATGACGTCATAGATGCGGCACCCCCCAAAATTTTGGGGCGACGCCCTCAAAAATGACCAAAATTGGAATTTTTGGACCCAAAATTTGCATCCGACACCCCCAAAAATTTTGGGTGATGACATCATAGATGGGGTGATGACGTCATTGGGGCGCCCCAAATGCAGAAGCGATGACGTCATCGGGGTGGCCCCAAATTTGGGTGATGACGTCATCGGCCTGGCCCCGCCCACTCCCGTGTCCCCACCCCCCCTCTCCCTTCGATAGAGGCGCGACCGGTTTGAACCGGTTTGGAACTGGTTTGGACCAGTTTGAAACCAGTTTAAACCAGTTTGAGCCAGTTTGGACCAGTTAGGGCCATTTTGGAACCAGTTTAAACCAGTTTGAACCAGTTTGGAACCAGCGTGAAACCAGTTTGGGCCCGTTTGGAACCAGTTTAAACCAGTTTGGAACCAGTTTAAACCAGTTTGGGCCAGTCTGGAACCGGTTTGGAACCAAATTGAACCAGTTTGGACAAGTTTGAAACCAGTTTAGACCAGTGAGAAACCAGTTTGGAACCAGTTTAAACCAGTTTGAGCCAGTTTGAGATTAAACCAGTTTGGGTGGGATTAAACCAGTTTGAACCAGTGTGAAACCAGTTTGGGTGGGATTAAACCGGTTTGGAACCAGTTTGAACCAGTTTGGAACCAGATTAAAGCATTTTGAAACCAGTTTGAACCAGTGTAAAACCAGTTTGAACCAGTTTGAACCAGTTTAAAGGATTCTGAAACCAGTTTGAACCACATTGGGCCAGTTGGAACCGGTTTGAAACCAGTTTGGGCCAGTTTAAACCAGTTTGAACCACTTCAGAACCGGTTTGAACCAGTTTGAGGCAGTTTGAAATCGGTTTGGGCCAGTTTGAACCAGTTTGGAACCAAATGAAACCAGTTTGGACCAGTTTCAACCAGTTGAAATCGACTTGGACCAGTTTGGAACCAGTTTGAACCAGATTAAACCAGTTTGAACCAGTTTGGAACCAGATTAAACGTTTTGGAACCAGTTTGAACCAGTTTGAACCAGTTTGGAACCAGATTAAAGCATTTTGAAACCAGTTTGGACCAGTTTGAACCAGTTTGGGGTTTGGGTAATTCAGGATTTTGGGGGTTTGGAGATTTGGGATTTGGGGGTTTGAAACCCCAAAAAAATCCCAAAAATAAAAAAAAAACCCAAAAAACTCCCCAAAACCTCAAAATCCCCCCAAAAAACTCCCCAAAAATAAACAAAAAAATCCCCAAAAAATCCAAAAAACCTCAAAATCCCCCAAAAAACCCCCAAAAATAACCCTGAAAAAACCCCAAAACACACAAAAAGCCCAAAAAAAACTCAAAAATACCCCAAATCCCCAGAAAAGCCCCAAAATCCCCCAAATATCCTCAAAACATCTCTCAAAAAAACCCCAAAACCACCAAAATAATCCAAATCCCCCCAAAAAGCCCAAAATCCCAAAAAATCCCCAAAAACACCAAAAAAACCCAAAAAACTCCCAAAACCCCAAAAAAGTCCCCAAAACCCCCCAAAAAAACACCCCAACAAATCCCCAAAACCCTCCCAAAAACCCCCCAAGAAACCCCAAAAAAACCCCAAAAAACCCAAAAAACCCCCAAAAATTCTCAAAAAACCCCCAGAAACCCCCCAAAACCTAAAAAAAAACCCCAACCCCCCCAAAAAAATCCCAAAATCCCAAAAACACCAAAAAAAATCCCGAAAAACCCCAAAAAATCTCCCCAAAAAACCCAAAAAAACCCCAAAACCCCAAAAAGACCCCAGAAACCCCCCAAAACCCAACCCCCCCACAAAATACCCAAAAACCCCCAAAAAACCCAAAACCCCCAAAAAACCCAAAACACCCCAAAATCCTAAAACCCCAAAAAAACCCCAAAATTCCAAAATACCCAAAAAACAATCCCAGAAAAAACCCAAAACGCCCAAAAAATGCCACAAAACCCCCCAAAAATTCCAAAAATTCCCCCAAAATCCCAGAAAAACCCAAAAATCCCCCAAAAACCCCAAAAAATCCCAGAAAAACCCCAAAAATCCCAAAAAACTCCCCAAAAGTCCCCGAAAAAAAACCCAAAGAAACACAAAAAACCCCAAAAAATTTCCAAAAAAAACCCCAAAACTTTATGGGGTTTTAGTGACCACAAAATCCACAGTTGGGATTTTTTGGGGGTTTTAGGGGTTTTTTGGGTATTTTTGGGTTTTTTTGGGGTTTTTTGGGTCTTTTTTTGTTTTGTTTTTTTTGTTTGTTTGGTTTTTTTGGAGCTTTTTTGGGGATTTTTTTGGTTTTTTTTGGGATTTTTTGGGATTTTCTGGGTTTTTTTTGGGATTTTTGGGGCTTTTTTTTTTTTTGGGGGGGGGTTGGGTTTTTTTTGGGTTTTTTTAGGGTTTTTTTGGGAGGATGTTTCGGGGTTTTTTTGGGGCTTTTTGGGTTTTTTTGGAATTTTTTGGGGTTTTTTGGGTTTCTTTGGGTTTTTGGGGGTTTTTTGCAGTTTTTTGAGGGGTTTTGGGATTTTTTTGTTTTATTTTTGGGTTTTTTTTGGGGGGGTTTCTTTGGGGTTTTTTTGGGGCTTTTGGGGGGATTTTTTTCGGATTTTTTGGTTTTTTTGGGGTTTTCTTGGGTTTTTTTGGGATTTTTGGGGGATTTTTTTGGGCTTTTTGGGGTTTTTTTGGGGTTCTTTTGGTTTTTTAGGGACTTTTTTGGGGGAGTTTCTTTGGGATTTTTTGGGGT